CCGTGAGATCATGACCTGAGCCGAAGTCGGCCGCTTAACCGACTGAGCCACCCAGGCGCCCCTAAGTTTAATTTTTAAGAGTCAATATGGACTTTTTATTTTCAGTGTTTTTCTATTTCATTATTCATTTTGGTTCTCAAATTGTCTCAAATTTTGCTAGAGAGCTCTCTGTTAAGATGGGTTCTATGTCCTTTTGACATATCCTTGTCAGTTTTTTAGTACTTCCTGGTATAATAGAGTGCTCCAGATTTACGTTGCACTTTCCCTGACCCTGGTTTAGAATGATCTTTTTCTCTAAGGAACCCTGGTTTCTTTTGGTGGAGAAACCAAGATCTAGGTGCCAGCTATGCTCCTTACTACTAAGGTATCCACTCTTTCAGTGGATAGAGCAAGGAAGTTTTTGTTTTTAAATCATGGCTTCAAATTGATATCCCTAATTCCAGTCCAGTTCCATAGGGCTTTTCTTCTCTCAATCCGTATTTGTATCTCTGTTTTTCCACAGTGAAAAGCTTGGTAGCAACATCAGTAAGGTTACTTATTTGCTCGGTTGTACAATACACGCATAATAGTTTGAGAAATATAATACCAATACTACCAGCAGCTACAAACCTACTAAGTGTGGTTTAAACTTTGCAGTTTTTGTTATGCTTACATATACATCATTAAGACTGCAGTGTAAAGTTATTTAAATATCATTTTTCTCCTGTGGTAAAATTGTCACTATAATTTTCAGTTACATTTTTGTATTTCTGTTTTATTCAATTTTATTTCCCTCCCCCATCCTTGTCGATTTAATTTTACTTTTGGAATGTATAAAACGTTAACATGGTTCAGAATTCAAAAACCTCCATTTTATAGTCACAGTAATATATGATTTAGGTACAGAAAAAATTAATGCTAAAACCTTTGAGGTTTTACTTGAAAGGTATACTGAGAAGTCTGATTTCCCTTCTTACCTTTCTACTTGTCATTAGCTTTTGGCTTATCTTAGTTGTGTTCATTATTAAAGATACAAGGACATACAGATACATATTCTTCTATCCTGTTTCTTACACAAAAGGTAACATACTACTGTGATACTGCTATGCTGTGTTATGCTATGCTATGCTCTTTTGCACCTTCCTTTCATAGAGCTATTCCCCATTCTTTTACACATTAGGTAGTCAATATTCTATGCATGGGCATTTCGGTTATTTCCAACCTTCTACTTTGCAGCTGATAACCTGTGTATATACTTTTTCATGTTACATGTACCAGAACTTAGTCCTATAATCTAAACAGACTTAACATGTCTAAAACAGTGCATCATTTTCCCCAATACTTTTTTCTTGACTTCCATTCCCTGTTATTGAATGATAACCATCATCTATCCTGTTACTTATGCAGAAACCATGGTATCATCATTTCTTCTCATACCTAGTTAGTCAGCAAGTGCTGATGATGCATCTTTATCTTTTTATTTTTTTCTCAACTTAATTTCCTTAGTTACAATAGGACTCTACCTAAGGTCTTACTTTGCTTAATTTACTGTACTAGCCTCCTAATTGCTCTCATTTCTTCCCTAAAATTCCAAACTGCTATTAAAACTGTCTGTCTTAAAGCCAAGGGTTTTTCATTTGTCTAACCTTAATATTTCTCCTGTGCTTCTAAGATTCAAATGCTTTTGTCTAGATGCCTAGGCCTTATATTTCCTGGTCTCCACCCAGATATCCAGCCTAATTTCTAGCCCTTCTTACCATACTGAGCTACTTATAGATTCCTTAGACATGTCCTGTCAAGCCTCTTTTGCACTGGAAATGCCTTTTTTTACCCTCTACATTTCATTTTAATTATTTTTCACTGTACACCTTAGGTATTGCCCCTTCCAGGAACACTTCTTGCCGGGTCAGATGCAGTTCTCCATTCTCCCGTAGCACCTTGTGCTTACCTGCATTGACTTACCTCTCTTCCCTGGGACTTTGGACTCCTATAGGCTGGAGACTTCTGTTAGTTCTTCTTTCTTATTGCAGAGCCTCGAGCATAGTAGACATTCAATAGTTAGTGAATATATGAATAAACTTGATCTGTTTACATTTTTTAAAAAGGTATCTAGGTTTTCATTTACATGTTCACTGCAGAGAGTCTAGACAGTGCATATAAGAAGTGAATGGCTTCCATTATTCCTAGCTCCGTCTTTAGTGGGAACTATGATTAATAGTTTTAATATTGGCAAGAAAAGCACAAAATAGATTTTCCAGATACTATAAAAATGTCTACTGTTATGTTCTTATAGATCATCTCTTTTCCTTTAGGCAATGATAGTAAGAAATGCTAAAGATACAGCTCATACAAAAGCAGAACGGAATATTCTGGAGGAAGTAAAGCATCCCTTCATTGTGGATTTAATTTATGCCTTTCAGACCGGTGGAAAACTCTACCTCATCCTTGAGTATCTCAGCGGTCAGTACACTCAGTTTGGTGTAATTATTTGCATTTGCTCCAGAAACTGGGTCAAAATTATTTTCCAATGGAAAAATGCTTTCCCCAATGTGATTAAATATTCTTAAAATTGACAAATACATTGACATAAGGAATTCAGATATGACCAAATGTTTCTTTTTGCAGAAAAATGTGAAGGAAACTTTAAAGGTTAAAGTTTTTTTCCCCATCTGTAAAATTTTATCTTAATCCTTATCCCTTTGTAATCAATTACATAAATAACAAACCCCTAATTGATAGCCATCACATTGACTGCACTTGGGTAAGATACTATAATTTACATGAATCATCAAAGCATTTTTTCTAAATTGAAGTGGAAAACTTACTGAGAGTATTGTTTAAGCTATTGAATATTTTTGGAATTGGATCTCTAAAGAGAACAATTTTTTGGTTTAATATAGCTTTTTTGATAGACTATGAAGTTTACATTGGAAAACATCCACACTTTCTAGGATTTACCACCTCCTAGAAACTTGTTGCTTCCTTATCATTTCTAGATCACAAGTATCTATTTCCAGCAAGCACATGTGAGTTTTCTGAATAACAGATTTCACAATGGTCTGTAACATGGAACAGAAAGCTGCAGAATTTCGCTAACTTTTATGTGACTGTTGCCATTTTTTTCATTTTTTGGTAACTTTATTTTGACATAATTTCAGATTTACGCAGAAAAGTTGCAGAAATAGTACAAAGACTTCTCACACATCCTTCACCTAGATATCCCACACATTTTACCGGTTTTGTTTCATCCTTCTTTTTCTCTCTCTTTATGTGTATATATACATATTTATGTGCGTGTATATATATATATATATGTGTGTGTGTGTGTGTGTACATATATACACACACATGTATTTGTATATATATATTTTTTCTGGACTGCTCAAGAGAGTGTTGCAGACATGATTTCCCATTGCCCCTAAATACTTCAGTGTATATTTTCTGAAATCAATGCAGTATCTTACTTAACTCTACTAAAAGGATCAAAAATAGGAAATTAACGTTGATACAGTAATATCTCTCAGTTTCCTTTAATCTGTAACAGTTCTTCATTCTTTCTTTGTCTTTCTTGACTTTAGCATTTTTGAAGCGTATAGGGCAGTTATTTTGTAGAGCACATCAATTTGGGCTTATCTGATGTTTCCTCAAGATTAGGTTCAGGTCATGCATTTTTGGGAGGACCATCGAAGTGACACTGTGTCCTTCTCTGTCAGATCAGGAGGTACATGATATTTATATCTTTGTCCCATTACTGTTGATGTTAACTTTGATCACATGTATGAGGTGGCGTCTACCAGTTTTTTCCCTGGTGAAATTTTCCCTTTGTAATGAATAAGTATCTTGAGATACTTCGGGATTATTTAAATATCTCGTCTCTCATCAAACTTTCACATACAGTTTTAGCATTCATTGATTCTTGCTTGAAACACTTAACTATGATGATTGCCAACTGATTTTTCTTATTCCATCATACCTCATTCATTTATTATTTGGCATTTTACTGTAATGAAGAACTTTCCCTTCTCTCCCATTTTAAAAATTTATTGATCTCTTCTTTGATTTACATCATTGTGGACTCATGGATTCTAAGGTTATTCAGTGGGATATAATTCTTTATTATCATTATTTATTTTAATATTCAGAATAGTGCCATGCTTTTAAGAAAGCTGCTGCCAGATTCCTCTAGATTAAGAATTCTGAAAATATGGAATAAGGGCATTTACTAATTTTAATTTGTAAGGGTGGCTCAATTATATACTGACATTTTTCTGCTTAGGTTAAACTGTTAGAGAAGCTTTAACCAAGATTTCTTTTAACCTCAGGTCTGGAATCTATAACTATTTTGAAGTTTATAGATGTAAAACCTAGAATTCCAAAACTTATATATTTCACATAAGAATAAGAACACTGCTAAAAATAGAATCCTGAGGACTTAGTTTTAAACCTATAGTTTTTAGGATCTGTTTTTTATTTTTAAGGAGCTGATGCCTTTTAATTGTGGTTAAAAGGAAAGCACAGCCCTCATTAGAAATGGGTTGGAAATGAAGATTGTTCTATTTCTAATGTCTTTTCCTTTTCCTTACAGGAGGAGAATTATTTATGCAGTTAGAAAGAGAAGGAATATTTATGGAAGACACAGCCTGGTAAGTGAAATTTTTGTGGTTGCATGGACTCAGGTAATGATTCACATAATTAAAAGTAAAGCCCTGTTCTCACTGTGGGCAGCCAAATGATTCAATAAATTGTTCTGGAGCCAGTCAGTCACTCAGAACTTCAAGGGGGAGAAGTATCTATGGGACTGGGCAGCTTTTGGAGGTCACGTCATTCCTTTGCCCCCAGGCCTTGGGTGGAACGCTCTTCACGCCAGTCCTTAACAGAACCATTCTCACTGGGGCTTTCTTTCCTTGAATTGGTAAGCTGCCTGCCTTGGCTGTGGGTGAGTGTGGTTTTCCGGTGAAACTTTATGTGTGGAACAATGGAAAGTATCAGAAATCATCTCCTCTTTTTTTTTAGACTTTCCAGTTCCCAAGGTGCAGTCTTAGGGAGGTGATAAACCGGCACACATCATCTGTGGATTGATTCTATGGCCAGGATGGGATCTACCCTTATATTTCTTAAGATGGCATCTGCTTCAAATTAAAAATATACACATCCTTTTGTGAGAGGACAGTATTGGGTAACAATAAATCAGTTTATCCTACACATTAATTGAATAGAAAACACTTAAATGTTTTTTCTACCTTAATTACCAAACTGCATTCCATTGTTTAATTTCAGGCCTTTTCTAACACAGAAGCTGCATTTAAGAGCCTTAGGGATGAAGTGCCCTTTTTTGGAGGAGGCTCTCTGAGCCATGTTGGAGGCTGTGTTTGTGGTCCTGCTGGCTGTGAAACTGCCTCAGTCCTCTAGGACACACCCTCTCCATCCTGGAGTAATCTGCAGGATTGCAACATTGTTATGCAGCCAGTATTGCAGTGCCTTGTGCTTTTCGAATCCAGACAGGGTTGACTCAGCCCTTTATTCTTTTGAGGTAGATAAATTTGAGTGTCACACAGTTTATAGTTGTGGGCTGGCTGGCAAGAGGGAGGGCAGATACTGTGGGCATGAACTGTATATAAATAGCAGCTGTGTTAAGGGATGAGCGGGCTTCTAAGGGTCAGGTTATTTATAAGGTATCTTTTGAAACTAAGACTTAATCTCTAAGAATAACAAAGTTCCTATGTCCTGTGGGATTTTAAAATTGGGGGTGGGTGGGAGAAAATTGCTTTGATCTGAATGACTGTTGGCCTAATTGCCACACAAACAGAACAAAAACCAGTGACAGTTTGGCATATTCTGGACTTCTTTGCAATTTTAGCAGTATGTTCTAATGATGAAATTAAACATAGTTTCACTAAATAAGTGAAACATAAATGTCATCATGCCTTTTGGCAGCATCCTATGCCATCTCTTTCCCCCATCCCCACCCCCATCCCCACTAATTTGGTCTTTGGTGCATGTCTATTTCTTTCAAGGAATTTTGCTCCGTACATAAACTGCTTTGAGTATATTACTCTTTTTAATTTTATTAAATCACTTTTGTTTCCAGCTTTTACTTGGCAGAAATCTCCATGGCTTTGGGGCATTTACATCAAAAGGGGATCATCTACAGAGACCTGAAGCCGGAGAATATCATGCTAAATCACCAAGGTGGAGATATACCGTAAACAATTCTATAGTAAATAATCATCTTAAAATCCTCCCTCACAGGTCATGGTCATTTTTCAAAGCCCCATAGTCACGTATCTATTATTATACATTCCTCCCTCAGAATTTACGGCATCATAATACTTGCTGAAATTTAGGTATTTAGGTATTTGTAATTGATGAGATTAGAGGGAGTTAAGGATAATTGGCCACTCAACCCTTTCAGTTTAATCCTTGGTCTGTATAGCTTATAATTCTTTTGAAATCTTTATATATCAAAAGCCAGTCCAACTCTAATTTTGGTTTGTTCCTTAAATTGGAAAGTAAATCTTAACTCTATAAATTGTGTTTTCCTTAAGGATAAAAATACATAAATATTAGAATCAGTACTTTTTATGATAAATTTTCTTGATGCTATGAAAAAAAGGATTAGAATGGAACAAAAATATTTGATACAGCCTTGGAAAGAAAATGTTTATTGTAGGCATCGGTTTATTCTTGCTCTTTGTAACAACAAACATAAAAATCAGAAAGGCTTGGGGCGCCTGGGTGGCTCAGTCGGTTAAGCGTCTGACTTCAGCTCAGGTCATGATCTCACAGTCTGTGGGTTCAAGCCCCGCATCGGGCTCTGTGCTGACAGCTCAGAGCCTGGAGCCTGCTTCTGATTCTGTGTCTCCCTCTCTCTCTGCCCTTCCCCTGCTCATGCTCTGTCTCTCTCTGTCGCAAAAATAAATAAAAACATTAAAAAAAAAATTTAGAAAGGCTAATATTCTGTACAGCTATAGGTAGAGTAGACTGAGTCTTGATTACAACTGCATGCTGCTACAGACCGTTCGATTTATGCAAGAGTAATATAGGCTATGTAGACTTTGCAGTTCAATCAACCAACCAGGCTGTTGGGGTGCTGGTAGCAACAGCTGATCTTTCAAGGTTTACAAAACGATACACGAGGTAGTTAAGAGTTTTAAATTCTTGGACAGGAAATGGTGTGTGGACAACTGACACTAGTATAAATCCATTTCAAACTGTGTTTTTCTTCTTTCTTTCCTTTTTTTTTTTTTTTTTTTTTTTTTTTTTTGGAGAAATGCTGTACTTAACCAAGTATATCATGGGAATCTATGTATCTCCCTCCCTCCCTCCCAGTTCTGCTCTCATCCCCCCAAACTTGGGATTCTGATTCTGAATTCTAAGGCAAAGGATAGAATAGGGAAGTGACTAGTTAACTTCTTTGATCCATAAACTTGAGTGTGTCAGTGTCAGGTAGTTCTGTGAAAGTAAAGGTCATATTTCTTCTGTGTCAGAGTGAAGTACACATTTACATTTGAATCAGTAGGCCATTGCCTTTTATTTTTTCTGAAACAACCCTGGAATAGTAGGGTCCCTGGGATTGTTGAACCATGGGATATCTAATAACAGTTCAGTAAAGCTAAACTTGAACTGAAATGTTCTTTGTGTAAGGTAGTCAGTTTTTTTACTTTCTGAGCAAGAGATGACGGTCCCATGCCATGTAGCAATTTCATTTCTTTTTCTGAACTGGCAGGATTGGCAGAATAAGCTAACTTGTTACAGTGACTTTCTGAGACCATTTTAAAAACTCTCAAGTCACAGTTCACTGTGGTAAAAGTTACATATTTGAAGTACAGGTTAACACCTCTGTTAAAAAGGTACAGCATATCTTTATTAGGGGTTGTATACTTAAGCCAGATTTTGGAGAATTTTTCCAGCGTTTACTTTCTCAGGATGGTAGAGAATTCTAGGTATAGGTAAAGCTGGAGCCTTTGGCAAAAGATGACTACACTAGCCTTGTAGGGAGTTAGCATCTCATTTTATGGATGGCACCTTGCTAGTTCTTTGTATCTTCAAAAAAATATTTAAGGCAGAAAAAGTTAATAATTAATAATCTACATTATTGTAGATTATTGTCTTGTATGATACATTCAAACACTGTACATACTTAGAATTCTCAGAATAACCATGCTATGATCTTTCATTGTAGGTCATGTGAAACTAACAGACTTTGGACTATGCAAGGAATCTATTCATGATGGAACAGTCACACACACATTTTGTGGAACAATAGAATACATGTGAGCTGCATGTTGAAAGAAATATAACTGGTTTGGGGGTAATAGCTGACTTTTACCTGGCTACGTAATGATAGTGTGCTATATTTTCGATAGCAACAATTGGCTCTGTATATTGTTTTTAAAATTCTAATTCAGATGACATGCAAATGGGTGAATTTTTTAGGAGTATTATTTTTCTCATTGTAGGGCCCCTGAAATCTTGATGAGAAGTGGCCACAATCGTGCTGTGGATTGGTGGAGTTTGGGAGCATTAATGTATGACATGCTGACTGGAGCAGTAGGTGCACAGTTAAAAGCTGCATGTATTCTGGTCTGTGCTGGGTAGTTATAAATCATTATAGGAAGAGACCTTTTCTGTGCTTTCTAAAAGTGTTACTGATGGAGTAAAAAAAAATTAAAAAAAATCATGCTAATAATGCTTTATTAGTAGTACTTCCCCTATACTTTTAAAAACATTTTTTTTAAAAATGATCTGCCACGGCAGGCCTGTGAAACAGGTATAAAATAGGTACTGCCCTTATTTTGTAAATAGAGAAAGTAAAGAATATAAGCACATGGCTCGTATGTTACCACACAAAGTTAATAGTGGAAACCCAGTTTCTTCTAGGATGTTGCTGTTTCTTCTGTCCCATTGCTTAAAAACTACAGATCTTTAGCAGTCAGCCCATATCACAGCATATATTTCTGATGTCTATGCATAACTGACTAATTCAGGAAATTGATGATTTTATTTTTTTTATATGCTGATTTTTCTCACTCTCTTCTGCTCCTAGCCCCCGTTCACTGGGGAGAATAGAAAGAAAACAATTGACAAAATCCTCAAATGTAAACTCAATTTGCCTCCCTACCTCACACAAGAAGCCAGAGATCTGCTTAAAAAGGTAGGACACCAAACAATAAGCCACAACTACTGGGATTTAAATGGATATAATTGAATATATGTTTTGAATAAAGAATCATACACATATATTAAAAAAAGAAAGCCTACAGTTTTTGCAGGTAAAGTACAAATTTGTTTAAAGATTTTCTTTACTTTTTATTCCTAAACAGTATTTAGTAGTAATTAATAAATCATATTTTCTCAAAATAGATTAGCAGTATAGACAAGCAAATTTTATAAATGAAAACTAATCAGTTTGACTAAGGTTCATCAATTTTTTTCCCCCTCCCTAAAGCTGCTGAAAAGAAATGCTGCTTCTCGTCTTGGAGCTGGTCCTGGGGATGCTGGAGAAGTTCAAGTAGGGATTGATCTGTTTGGTGGTTTGAGTGGAAGATAGTGCTAATTTTATGTATTTGTGAAGCTTGTATGTAGTTGTTTAAAGTGCAGCTTATTTTGTGATTGGTGTAACTTCAAATAGGCAGTTACTTTGTCAATCCAGTGAAGTCTGTTTCCCTTGATTTTTCTTTCTGGTCCTTTTTTCTAGGCTCATCCATTCTTCAGGCATATTAATTGGGAAGAACTGCTGGCTAGGAAGGTGGAACCCCCTTTTAAACCTCTGTTGGTATGTATACACGAAAGCATATTATTTGAAAGACCTCGTGCTTTTTTTTTTTAATTTTTTTTTTTTTTCAACGTTTATTTATTTTTGGGACAGAGAGAGACAGAGCATGAACGGGGGAGGGGCAGAGAGAGAGGGAGACACAGAATCGGAAACAGGCTCCAGGCTCCGAGCCATCAGCCCAGAGCCCGACGCGGGGCTCGAACTCACGGACCGCAAGATCGTGACCTGGCTGAAGTCGGACGCTTAACCGACTGCGCCACCCAGGCGCCCCAAGACCTCGTGCTTTTTTAGAATAAGAAAATCTCAGAGCATTCAGAAACATTTTGTTTATATTAACAATTCGGAAAACTTTGACTTCTCTTCAGAATCTTTATTCTATGCAGTCTTTTCAAGGACTTACTACCAGTAGCAATTGATGAGTATAGGATGATTAACTTTTTTTTAATGTTTATTTTTGAGAGAGAAAGAGAAAGTATAAACGGGGGAGGGGCAGAGAAAGCGGAAGACAGAGAGTCGCAAGCAGGCTCTGCGCTGTCAATGCAAAGCCTGATGTGGGGCTCAAACCCACAAACTCTGAGGTCATGACCAGTGGCAAAGTTGTACGTTAAACCACCTGAGCCACCCAGACACCCCTATGTTAACTATTTTTAGGTTGGTTGCTAAAGACAATTAAATATTTCAAGTAGTTGGAACATTTTTTAATTTTTTTTTTTTAATGTTTATTTATTTTTGAAGGAAAGGGAGACAGAGCATGAGTGGGGGAGGGGCAGAGAGAGAGGGAGACCTAGAATTCGAGGCAGGCTCCAGGCTCTGAGCTGTCAGTGCAGAGCCCAGCGCGGGGCTCGCACCCACAAACCACGAGATCATGACCTGAG